AGAGACAGTATTAGTCTGGTCAGTGTGATTATGATTCATACAGAGACAGTATCTGAGTCTGGTCAGTGTGATTATGATTCACACAGAGACAGTATTAGTCTGGTCAGTGTGATTATGATTCATACAGAGACAGTATCTGAGTCTGGTCAGTGTGATTATGATTCATACAGAGACAGTATGAGTCTGGTCAGTGTGATTATGATTCACACAGAGACAGTATCTGAGTCTGGTCAGTGTGATTATGATTCACACAGAGACAGTATCTGAGTCTGGTCAGTGTGATTATGATTCATACAGAGACAGTATGAGTCTGGTCAGTGTGATTATGATTCACACAGAGACAGTATGAGTCTGGTCAGTGTGATTATGATTCATACAGAGACAGTATGAGTCTGGTCAGTGTGATTATGATTCATACAGAGACAGTATGAGTCTGGTCAGTGTGATTATGATTCATACAGAGACAGTATCTGAGTCTGATGATCCCAGAGCAGCAGGAGGATGTCACGACTGGGTGCAGTAGGATTTAAAGAAAGCATGACACACGGCTTTGTTTTGGTTGAATACTTTCCACATTATGCACAGTCTATTCCTGGATTTCAACTTCCGGATGTTTTACTCCTCACCCACTCAAAACATGTCCCAGTGGAGCAGGTGAAAGTGCAGGAGCTCAACACAAACCCAAGACTGGGCTCTTACAGTAAAAGTGCTTTCATTCAAACTAAGGACTTGGCAACTCTAAAGAACAAAAACTTTAAAGAAAAAAAAGGACACAACGAGAGCAGACATCAGTGGGGCTCAAACCCACAATCTTCAGGCTCAAACCCAATGTTAAATACCATCCAATCATTGTCTGCCACTTTATCCGTTGCCAGGGCAGCAGTCTGAGAGATTGCAGCTCATCTGGGGGAATCCTGAGGCGTTCAGCTGAGACACAGTCCTCTGTGTCCTGGGTCTCCTCCTGGTCTTCTCCCTCTGTGTCCTGGGTCTCCTCCTGGTCTCCTCCCTCTGTGTCCTGGGTCTACTCCTGGTCTTCTCCCTCTGTGTCCTGGGTCTCCTCTCTCTGTGTCCTGGTTCTCCTTCTGGTCTCCTCCCTCTGTGTCCTGGGTCTCCTCCTGGTCTCTTGGTGGGACGTGCCCAGAACACCTCCCCAAGGAGGAGACAAGGAGGCATCCAAACCAGAGCCACCTCCACTGCCTCCTCTCCACATGGATGAGCAGCGGTTCTACTCCGAGCTCCGTTGTATTACATACAGTACATATGTAAATTATGTGGTGGTAGCAGGAGTAGCACCAGTAGCAACAGCAGTAACAGTAGAAGCAGCAGTAGTAGCAGTATCATTATTATGATAATAATTATTATTATTCATAGGGACTCCGCACTTTCTAAAACCTAACCCGAGGTTTGACACATTCGTCTCGTAGAGAAATCGTGACCATTTCATTCACTCCTCACTTGTCGCACATTGGGCCAAATCTCAGAATAATCTCAGCGCAATCAACCATAAATCACCACGTAAACACCTGACTGTCAGATAGTTCAACGAACACACATGCTTTTGTCGTGATGATTATTGCAACAGGTCTGAGTCGCTAATCCGTAAACTGGGGTTAATAGTATTCGCGGATTTACCTCCATGGGGAATGTGTGGAGCTAGCATGTTTAGATACAAGGCTAATTACAAGTATTAGCACAAGTATTAGCACAAGTATTAGCACAAGTATTAGCTTGGGAATGCACTTTCAATACAACAGATAGCAATGTTTTTAGCTCAAAATGTTCTTACTGACTGTGTTGTTGGACATGAACCAAGACATGTGTTGAGGGTTAGTTATTGATAAAGTGTGTGTATCACTGTGTGTTGTATCGATAAGTTTGTGTGTACATTACGTTAACAGTTCAGACAGTCTATAAACGCGTGTTGTGAGGATCCAGAGCAGGTTAAATCTGTCAGACACACACACTGACTGACACACACAGACACACACTGACACACACTGACACACACCTGTCGTATGTGTAGCAGAGGTTTAGCGGAGACCCTGTGTGTGATGTGTTTTTGTGTGTATTGTGTATTTCTTACCGTTATTGCGTGTGGCTACGGTGGATGCACAGATGGACAGCTCCGCGGTGCTGAACACGAGTGGACACACTGACGTCATCACGCACAGGTGACGCAGGCCACCACAACATAATCATTTGATATATCTTTATTGACTCGCTTGGATTCAAAGTAGTATGTACAAATAATAGCCATATATTATTATAAATATATATGTTCCCTGTATGTATGTGTGTGTGTAGATATAGATGAGGAGCACAGGGACTGGCCTCCTGCTGGTCCAGAGTCAGGACTAACCATGGGGAGGCAGCGTTTCAGATTTATTCAGCTAAAATCTGGCTAAAACAGTATTCCTGAAAATGTGAGACAGGCTTCTTCTCTGACAATGTTCAAATCCAGGTTAAAAACAGTTCTGTTTTGCTGCAACAACTGAAGGATTTTATCTTTTATAATATCTATCTTGTTTCTATCATGATTTCTTGAGTACTTTGAGTGTATGAATTGTGCTATACAAATAAACTTGCCTTTCCTTTGCTTTTGTTGCTTAAAACTACAAACTAGACTAGAGTTAAGTGACAGTTAGAAACCATTAGGACTAGTTGCTTCCAGAAATATGTAATATTTACAGTCTATGTCAACGAGCCTTGGCAGACCTGCGCAGGGGGAAAAGTACGTCTTTATTAGCATTGATTGTTTGACTTGCAAAGGTTTCTGCTTGTATATATATTATTTATTAGTCTTATTCGTGCTATGGATAGGGTTAGGATAAAGGCGAGTACTAGTCCATTAGTGGTTTAGAATTGGCCTTTGGGAAATGTACAGTGTTGAGCCTGTGCAGAACTGCGTCAGGGAAAAAGACAGGCTAAGCTCACGCGGCGGTGTGCCATAGCTAACGGCTAACGGCTAACTGCGACCAAAGTCATTTCTACGTCACACAGGAACAAAACAAGAGTATTATCCGCTGCTGTGGTGTTATATTTATGCATAATAACCTTATAATTTTACATCTACAGTTTAATACATTTAAAAGACGCACAGATTTGCTGAAGCCTGGGGAATAGCGACATCAAGTGGACATTTGTAGGAACTGATTGTAATGCCGTGTCATGTTCAAATCGCTGCTAAATATCACTTTAATACTGATCATTTAACAGTTGATTTGAATTCTCCGTAATCGTTCCAGCGATATGAGGCCTAATGAACCTAAATGATGACTATTACCAGGTCCCATTGGAATAAGTCTGGGGCAAAGAGTAGACTGTTTACCCAGGGAGTTACTAATGAGTGTGCAATTATATGGTTAACCCTTTCGGGATCAAAAATGCAGGTCCGTTCGAATACAGGTCACTTTCTATACAGTGCTTCCCACTTAAATTCCCTTCATTATTTTTGAGTAGTCCTCTTATTTGTGGTTTCAAGCATCCATCTTCCACAAAAAAAAAACTAACATTTACAATAGACGAGAAAGTTATCATTTGAGACCATATCTAAGTGGACTACCTTTGAAAGTCAAGTTAGTGGGATTTAAGTTTTACATGGATCCTTAAAAGTGGACAGACTTCTCTACAACGGATCATGTCAGAATGTGCAATGATGATAGGGTCTGGGTTAAAGTGGCTGCTAACATGTAGATTTATGCTTAATTTTGATTTGTTCACTAGTCTTGTGTACTCGTATAAAGTTTTACCACAACCAAAAAAAAAAAACCAACCCTTCCATTACTTTAGCTGGAGTGACGCCTGTACATTTTACTGAGATCAGCTTTAGCTTAGAAAACTTTAACCTAGACCTGTCTAGAGCAACACTACTTCTGTGCAAAGTTAAATGAATGAAACTAGCTGCACTGCGATACTGTTTTATTAAATTAAAGAGGGTTGGGGCCGAACATTAAACTGAATTAGCTGAAGAGAAACTGAGAACAAACCTGGCCTTGACAAAAACCCGCACACCCGTTTATAAATCAATATACAAAATTTTATTACAAAAAAAACAAAACTACTTGAAAAAAATCCACATTAAAAATGGCTTTAAACATTTTTAATCAGATAAACTACAGATAAATCCTGGTAGTAAAATGACAGTGAAGAACAGCACTGCTAAACAGAACTCGAGCAGTGCGTCGAGGAAACATTAAAACTTTTTATGATTCACCGCCGCCGCCCACTGCCACACACAGTCCACAAAATTCATCCTTCTGGGGACGCGAGGCTAAACACGAGTTATTTCTGAGTATATCGGGAGAGAAGGGGAGGAGTCTAAGTGACATAGTAAATAAAAAACTAGATCCCTGAATTTGAGGAGGAAGAAAAAAAATGCAATCAAAAGTCTGGTTCCTACAGAGGCAGACGACAGGGACAGCAGGCTATGCATCAGGGAGGTCAAGCCAGAGGCAGAGAGGGCTGGGGCAGACGCGAGTTTTCACTCCAAACCAAGCTGGAGCACTCCACCCATTACCTCGGTCCAGTCGTGGGAGAGGGAATAGGTAGAGTTTGGAACGCTAACCCGCAGCTACACTAGTCCTAGCTTGGATCCTGGGTTGAAATCCCCACTATTAAATGCACTGCAAAAATATCTGTAAAGAGTCTGTAAAAGTATGAATTCAAAATAAGTGTTCGTAGCAATATTGACCGCTTAAAAACAAAAATGTACTCGCTGGCTAAGCTAAAACCTCCCACCGGGTTAAGAACGACAGGCTTAAGAAAGTGCAACACCCCGTACACGTAGCTGCGTCTAAGCGATCAAAACTGCTTTCTTCAAGAAACAAAAAGTCGAGGAAATATGTTTGAATTCAAATCAGGTCAATAACTCAATGTCAATATTTTTGTTGTTTTTTTTTCTTTTGCAGTGCGCAGGACTCATCCACACACACAAACACACGAGAGAGAGAACACAAAACAGCGAAACGTCTGCCCGAGGCCATAAACTGCTCTCTCTGCATCTAGTCGTCATCTTCATCATCGTCGTCTTCGTCCTCGTCTTCCTCATCATCCTCGTCATCATCGTCGTCGTCCTCTGGCTCGGCCTTCTTGGGGGCGGGCCGTCCGGGACCGCCCTTCTTGCCGGCGTTGCTTCCCCCGGATCCGCTCTTTGCTCTGTAGGCAGCCACGTCCTGGAAGGAGAGAGAGGAGGGTGTTAGCGTGACCATCAGAGCCTATACCATCAGAGCCTATACCAGAGTGACTTAGACCCATTGTTTTACAGTTTTATAGAGGAGAGTTTGACAATCAGGAAGCAATGGGTAGCTTGAAAACCAGCAAGAGCGAGCCTACAGCTACTGGTTTAAATGATATTGAAGAGTTACCTGGGCTGTGTTGCAGATTTATACATGTTTGTAAGTATAAAATACCTAAATAGATGGTCTTAAAGTATTGGCTCCTAATTCCTACTGTTCAGGAAGTGGTGATGCAACACTGACATTTTCCCCACTGTGGGACAAGCAGGGGGCGCCTAAAAACTTCAAGTTTGTCTCAACAATAAACTTTATATAATAATGTAGAAAACAGTGTTCTCTTTTACTTGTACCAAAGAGCCCAGTGAGTCACTATTAGACGTTTTAGGACGAGCAGAGGAAAGACAGATCACAAAAAGATGCTGCTGTAAATTCCAGGTTTGGTTTCAAAGTTAGGGATTGCACCTTAAATTAACAATGAATCACTGGTATTTGAATCACAACAGCAGCAGCATCAGATCACTTTAAAGATGCCGATTAGCCAACTGGTCAGACAATCAAACCTTTAACCACCACATTACAGAAGAGCCATTGGTCCAAAAACGTTTTGAATCTAAATGATTTTTTTTACTGCAAATTGAGAAATGTGTCAGTTTTACCACGTTGGACAGGCTGCTAAAATCCTCATCTGACTTTAAAACTAACCCTAGAGACCAGTAAAAGTTGGTTTGCATACATCACCATCTCCCAGATTGTCTAATTTGCATAGTGAAAGTGACATCTAATTATCACAGGCTAATGCAGCAGATCGCCTGGAGGGAGAACAATGGAATCCTAACTCACTGACCCAATGAGGCTTCTGAGATGACCGAACTGTAGATATTCCCCTCAGAATTAATGAGAGATCAGTTAAGAGAGAAAGTACAAACCTTCTCATATTTCTCCTTGAGCTTGGCGGCCTTGGCTTCGTACGGCTGCTTGTCTTTGGCCGTCTGCGTGGACCACATGACTCCCAGCTTCTTGGCGATGTCACCGATGGAAATGCCGGGGTTGTCCTCTTTGATTTTGGGACGGTGGTCTGAGCAGAACACGAAGAAGGCAGATCTTGGAGAACAAGAGGAGGAGGAAAAGGCAATTATTTAGAGACCCCATGACCATCTTTTCAGGTAAATCATCTAAACTGAACATTTAATCAACTTTAAGCCACAGCTTTCCCCAAATGTTGGCACCGAATAATGTTCTAACTGATCCATGCCCATTATCTGTTGTACCCAAACTTAGCACAGGGAGCGGTTCAGACCCCACCCCCAGACAGTAGCTCGAGAGCAGACTTACGGTGGCCTCTTGGGTGCGTTGGGGTCCTTCTTTTTGCCCTTCTTGCCCATTCCTTTAGGAGGGATGTAGTCTTGCATCTCGCGGTCGTATCTCACTTTGTCTGTCTTTGCCAGATCCTCGAACTTTGACTTCTCCTTTCCGGACATGGTCTGAGGAAAAAGAAGGGAAATGTTAAAGTTAGTAATGGGATACAGCTGATGAACTAGTAAACAGTGGTTGTTCTGCACTCCGGCTCCAATAGTGTTATAGTGAGATATATTGTAAGAAGACAGTTTAAAATACAGCAGGAACAGGCTTGACTACTTCATTATTCTGCTCTAAAGACTAGTGCAGTTGCTTCAGGTTCAACATTAAGTTTAATTTGAGGACGATGTGCAGTTACATTAAAAAGACTGCTACACCAGATTTGGCTTCTGTCCATCAATAGACATGAATATTCAAATGTAGTTAATGCAAGTTACCAACGTAGCTACACTCAAACAGAAGCCACAATTAGAGATGGATAACTAAAGTTTTGACTGTAAGAGTGCACGATACATCTTTTACTAGAAATGATACAGCTCTCAAAACACCAGGAGACAAACCAATAGTAGCCAACACTGTATGCTTCAGGTGCAATGCAAGGTTATTGATATGAATGTCCTGTGTTTCCATGACCACTGAACAGTCATCCAAAACAATGGAACTGTTGGAGAGATTTGCAGATTGAGAGGGGCAGACCTACCTTCCATCTTTCAGAGCACTTCTTGGAGAACTCTGCGAAGTTCACACTGGTCGCGGGGTGCTTCTTTTTGTGCTCCTCGCGGCAGGTGGCGACGAAGAAGGCGTATGAGGACATCTTGCCCTTGGGCTTATTCGCATCTTTTTTCACCATGGTGGCCGTTTCTGAAGACACAAAAAAACAACAAAAAGGGTCATTAAAAGTCCACACGGGATACAATTCAATGCTGCGTAGGCTCCTTAGCTGTGGTCATAAACAACACAAATACACGTGTCGTGACTCATTTCAGGAATAAAGTTGGTTAAAAACATAGTCTAAAAACATTACGCAGACGCACGTACGGTGGCGTAACTACGTAGGACGCGAGATTCACTCGAATTGCTTGTAAAAAATAAAAACTAGATAAGAATGTACAAAGTGTGGCATGCTTAAAAGGTTGTAAGAATTGCTAAAACATGAATACTACTGGGAAAAAAAAAACAATAAAAACGTCAAGAAAACAGCGACCTACTTATTGTTAGCCGTGTGCAGAGCTAAAAATAGCCACAATAGAAGGCCATAAACTTAAAATTGCGTGTGAAACTAGATAATTGTCTAAAATTTGACAAAGGGAATATGTAAATACGTGCGTCGTTACGTAAACCGGGTCGCGCGCAGACGCCGTGGGGTGATTGAGGCGCTAATCGGATTTCTCAGCGTCCCTGACACAAAAAGACAAGACTCCATTTTGATTCTTCCCGCGTAAAGTCATCTGCGCCAAAAAGATCCCCAGCCTGGCTCTCAACCAGCACCAAACACGGCCTCCACTCACACCCGCTGCCAAATTGTGCATTTATAGACGTTTCGGGCGAGTTTAAGTGGTTTAAAACGGCTGTAAAGTTTAGGATTCCCATTTTTCCTACGCTCCTCCTCCGTCCGTGAAGGAGGCGCCGCTGCTACAGACCAAATGGCGATTGAAGTGCGTGCTGCCTGCGAACAACGAGGACTGAGCTGAGGGGAAAGTCCGGACAAAAAACACACTTCAAAACGTCGCAAAAGCAAACCCAACACCTCCACATGCATTAAAAACAATTCTCTACGCGTTTGATCACACATTCAGGCAACATTACGCGGCAAAAAAATCCAAATAGGCCAAACTATTTATGGTCAAAATACAAGGTTTTTACTCGGACAAGAATTTTCAGTAGTATTAAACAATTTATCACCACTAATGCCTCTTTTTTTTTAGTTTTTGAACCACACGCAAAAAAAATCTCAACATGCTAACCTACTTTATACAGATTATGGCCTGGTTTTACACAATAAGTTACGACACACGCGGTTGGACCACAACATGGCGCCTGGTAGTAACATATACGCTCACATATGCTATAATAGTGAAGATAAATCACCCAAAAAAGTAGATTTAAGGCTCAAAAACAGCAGAAAGTCGCGATCGCTTACCTGTTCGTAACAAGACCAGCAGAAGACGAGTGAATGGAGGCTGCTGCTCAACTGTTTTGTCAGCGGAACAAACTTACGCAGTCCCGCCCACGCCGAGCTCTGATTGGTCGCACGAGGGGGAATTTACTTTTGAATGTAGGCGATCGTGACTGTGATTGGGCCGGGGGCGTGGCAGTCAAAATGCCAAGGCTTGGTTGTGGCTGTGAGCGCCGTGATTGGTTGAAGGGGACTTTTAAACGGGCGGCGCGAAAAGCTCTTTGTGAAAATCTCCCCCTAAACATCTATGAAAGAGGCTAGAGCGAGCTTTATTATTGAGGTTATTGTGGCGGCCATCTTGCGTTTACACACGAGCAAAATTCTCAAATACATTATATATGTGTTTATTATTACAGAGCACTGTTATCAATATTAATAGCCTGTCAATTTCATTTGTATAATTATTTATTCATCTCATCTGACTAGTTCCTTGCACTCAAAACAGTTGGTTCCATCTCTTGTTTTTGTTAATGGCCTCTGTCCCATCTCTACATCACCCCAAGCATCAATTCGTGACTCACAAGCGTTATTATTATAGATCCATGCTCACAGGGTTCTTTGTTAGAAGTATGCATACGCAGACACAGGGAGAACATGCAAACACATAGAAAGGTGCTGTGAAGTGAAGTAGATTACCTTATTACAGCCTCCAGAGTCTGAGGATTCTTTGTGTTTTAAAAAGTAATATTTAGACAGAAGTGAGTGCGACATCACCATAGGAATAGCATTAATGCAGAAGAGGCTGATTTGAACTTAAGCTGGAGCCAGTTTCATTAAATGGGCTTTTGTTCTGTATTGGGGCAGACGTGTTGCTAAGACGGTTGCTAAGGCAAGCTGGAGTGTCCCTGTGATTGAAGGTCACTCATTGGTCGATTCTTATATGGCTCAAAGGTAACATCACATAAACACCAGGATCACAGAGAGCAATAAACCACAGATTTAAGCCCAAAATGATGATGTCACACAAACAGTTACTGAGTTAGAGTTGGAGCAAAACTTCGTCCCTGAGCCCTTTCCTACTGGGGTTCATTGAGGTTAGCATTGTCCATCTGTGTACAGTCTATGGTTTTGTCCTGTTTTTAGCTCGGACAGAGTTTTAATACAAGTCCAGGGTCTGATGAGGAACAATACTCTCAGAATATACACAAAGTAGATCAATGTTGCCCAATTCTTTTCTTTACATACTTGTGTAAAAAAACCTATATAATAAAAGTAATAAAGTATAAAATAATAACAATACAAAACAAATACATACAATTACATTAAAAACAAGATGAAAACATTTATATAGTTATATATTAAATATGTCACTAGTATGACATCAAACATAATCAATTGACCAGAGAGAGAGACCAGAGAGAGACCAGAGAGAGACCAGAGAGAGAGACCAGAGAGAGACCAGAGAGAGGGAGACCAGAGAGAGAGACCAGAGAGAGACCAGAGAGAGACCAGAGAGAGAGACCAGAGAGAGCGCAAGAGACCAGAGAGAGACCAAGAGACCAGAGAAAGACCAGGGAGAGACCAGGGAGAGACCAGAGAGAGACCAGAGAGAGACCAGAGAGAGACCAAGAGACCAGAGAAAGACCAGGGAGAGACCAGGGAGAGACCAGAGAGAGACCAGAGAAAGACCAAGAGACCAGAGAAAGACCAGGGAGAGACCAGGGAGAGACCAGAGAGAGACCAGAGAGAGTGGGACAGAGACAGACAGAGACCCAGGACAGAGACAGAGTGCAGTGGTACAGTTTGGGGGGAGAGCGTCACTCCGCAGGGGGCACATTTGCACTGAACCATTTCCCAAAACAAAGGATGGAGGGTCTTCTGTGCAGGACCCGGAGCTGCAGCTTTGTCATGCGCCTCCACCTCCTCGTTTCAGGTGGATCACAGCACTTCACGCTCTCCTCTGTCTCTGAATGGAAATCTCACAACGACTGTGCTTTTAAACCAGGCTGGATCAGAAAACCAGCACTACCAATGCCACTGTTTCTTTAATGCCATAATCTAATCTATCCTGAACGACAACATACTTTTTTGCCTTTACCTTTTGCACAAAACAAATCGACCCCTAACGTCGTTAACCTTAAACTAATGTCAGTGCATTTGTCCACATTTGTGAATATTTGCTCTGTTTGCGATTTGTTCCTTTAGTTTGGTTCTAGTTCGCGTCCACCACTAGTTTTAATGTAGAACCAGAGAGAGACCAGAGAGAGACCAGAGAGAGACCAGAGAGAGAGACCAGAGAGAGACCAGAGAGATAGACCAGAGAGACCAGAGAAGACCAGAGAAAGACCAGGAGAGAGACCAGAGAGAGACCAGAGAGAGACCAGAGAGAGAGACCAGAGAGAGGGAGACCAGAGAGAGACCAGAGAGAGATCAGGGAGAGACCAGAGAGAGACCAGAGAGATAGACCAGAGAGACCAGAGAAAGACCAGGGAGAGACCAGAGAGAGACCAGAGAGAGACCAGAGAGAGGGAGACCAGAGAGAGAGACCAGAGAGAGGGAGACCAGAGAGAGACCAGAGAGAGATCAGGGAGAGACCAGAGAGAGACCAGAGAGATAGACCAGAGAGACCAGAGAAAGACCAGGGAGAGACCAGAGAGAGACCAGAGAGAGAGACCAGAGAGAGACCAGAGAGAGACCAGAGAGAGACCAGAGAGAGGCCAGAGAGAGACCAGGGAGAGACCAGAGAGAGACCAGGGAGAGACCAGAGAGAGACTAGAGGGGAGCTTTTATTACATACTTCCTTCTTTTGAAAGTCAGGTACCCCAGCTTTAAAGGGCAGGTTATTTCCTGGTAGTAGATTATCTGTTGCATGTTCTTTTACTTACTTTCATTTTTAACGGTTTCTCTCTCTCCCTCATCTTTACATCATCATCCTTTACGCTTGCTTGTTCTGTCCATTTTGTTTGGTTTTACCCCCCCCCATCCTCCCTCTCCATACTGCCCCCTGCTGGCCCCTCTGCTCGGGACAGCGTGGGCACCAGGGAAGGGGTGATCCAGAAGAACCTGAGCGGACTTCTGCCGGTGCGGGACGTTCGCCTGGACCCCAGTCTGCTGTACGGCCTGCCCCTGCTGGCCCTCAGCCCCCACCTGCTGCTGCTCTGGCTCTGCCTCAGCCTCACCTACCTCCTGGCCAGGCTGCGCTGCCCCTAGACTCGCCCCCGAGACCCGCCCCCGAGACCCGCCCTCAAGACCCGCCCCGAGACCCGCCCATAGACCCGCCCCGAGACCCGCCCAGGACAAGGACACAGGGCTGGAAGCTGAAGGGAAAGAGAGAGAGACTGTGGGTCATGATCCTATGAACAATGCTTTTGCAGAGGCTGAAAATACATGCATGTGAAAGAGAGACCAGAGAGAGAGAGACCAGAGAGTGAGAGACCAGAGAGTGAGAGACCAGAGGGTGAGAGACCAGAGAGAGAGACCAGAGGGTGAGAGACCAGAGGGTGAGAGACCAGAGGGTGAGAGACCAGAGGGTGAGAGACCAGAGGGTGAGAAACCAGAGGATGAGAGACCAGAGGGTGAGAGACCAGAGGGTGAGAGACCAGAGAGTGAGAGACCAGAGAGTGAGAGACCAGAGAGTGAGAGACCAGAGAGTGAGAGACCAGAGAGTGAGAGACCAGAGAGTGAGAGACCAGAGGGTGAGAGACCAGAGGGTGAGAGACCAGAGAGTGAGAGACCAGAGAGTGAGAGACCAGAGAGTGAGAGACCAGAGAGTGAGAGACCAGAGGGTGAGAGACCAGAGGGTGAGAGACCAGAGGGTGAGAGACCAGAGGGTGAGAGACCAGAGGGTGAGAGACCAGAGGGTGAGAGACCAGAGGGTGAGAGACCAGAGAGTGAGAGACCAGAGAGTGAGAGACCAGAGAATGAGAGACCAGAGAGTGAGAGTGACACATGTCTGATGGGGGCGTGGCCAGTATTGTCCACACACACACATGTCTGATTGGGGCGTGGCCAGTATTGTCCACACACACACATGTCTGATGGGGGCGTGGCCAGTATTGTCCACACACACACATGTCTGATTGGGGCGTGGCCAGTATTGTCCACACACACACATGTCTGATTGGGGCGTGGCCAGTATTGTCCACACACACACATGTCTGATGGGGGCGTGGCCAGTATTGTCCACACACACACATGTCTGATTGGGGCGTGGCCAGTATTGTCCACACACACACATGTCTGATGGGGGCGTGGCCAGTATTGTCCACACACACACATGTCTGATGGGGGCGTGGCCAGTATTGTCCACACACACACATGTCTGATGGGGGCGTGGCCAGTATTCTCCATACACACACACATGTCTGATGGTCCCTGTGCTCTTAGATGCAGCTTCTGGCTGTGTCTCAGGAGGTTTAGGCAGTTACACAGGGTTACATCTGACTTTCTCATTCCAAATAAACAGTTCTTTGTAAATGTACTCATCGTGTCCAAGGAACTGGAGAGGAATCTATAAAGTGTGCTCTCTGATGGAAGAGAGAGAGTACCACAGTTTGAGAAACACTAACTTTCCTGGTGGAAGGCCTGCCCCCTGCTGGTCTCTACGGACTTGGTTTTTCCTCTGGTGTTCTGCAGTATTATATTGTACTTATCTTTCTCTATGGTGCAAAAGGACAGGTCAGGTCTACTGTATGTGTCGGCAAACCGGTTTAGTGAGTTCTCCACCGTGACCTGACCAGACCAGCGGCTTTTGGAGGTGGACATGGGGAGAACATGCAAACTGAAAATGTCAAACCCAAATACTGACTGTAAAATGAATGTATTTGATAAATGTCTGTCAGTTAGTGTTCTGACTGACTGTGATTGGCCAGAGGGCTGCTGGGAGCCATGGTTACTCGGGAGTCGCCATGGATACGGGTTTGTTGTGGGCAGGTTGCTTGGATACGGTACCAGATACTAACGGCTTTTTAACCATCTCGGTCTGTATGGAGAAATATCAGACCGCGGCCTCTCCGTGACCCTCTTTTCTCACTCAAAATGATCTTATTTATAACTTTATTTCATGAATCTGCACTTCTGTAAATGTTTTGTTTTGCTAACAGCTGTTTTCAGTTTAAACCAGTGGGGGAGGGTCCCGGCTCAAAAGTGGCCAAAATGACGTGCGCTGACAGGCTGCAATACCGCCCCGGGCCTGTGGGGGTGGACCCAGAAGTAGAATTAGCCAATGCTAACATATAGCATCTTCTTACCTCTGGAAAACGTCTTTACAGGATGGACCAAAAGTTGTCTCTTGGCCCAAAGCTCCGTTCCACATGTGTGTCAATGCTGAGTGTTCTGGACCAGTCTAGTTTAGTCGCTGTGGACTTTAGAAGTCTCTCGTTCAAATGAATGGAGCTGCGCCGGCTGACGCATGCGCAGATGTGTTTTTTCACAATTTTCTTGTGGGCGGGACCACTCGCGGCCATTTTGGATAGCTCCATGAAAGCACTTTTCATGGCCAACTCCTATGAACGGCGGAGATAGGCCTGACTCTAAACCATAGACTGTATATATTAATGGACAAACAGAGCACCTTGGGCGTGGTTAGCACTCTCGCTTCTCCGCAAGAAGGTCCTGGGTTTGAATCCCGGTCGGAGCAGGGTCCCTCTGAGTGGCGTTTGCATGTTCTCCCCGTGTCTGCGTAGGTTTCTTCCGGGTATCCTACCACTAAAAACGTGTACAATAGGTCTGACAGCGCCCCCTGTAGGCGACCTCCCATCTGTGTGAAGTGAGAGACTTTGTGAAAGGAGCTAAATAAATAAACTTTACTTTAAACGATCTCAGTTTTTACAGATTTTACTTTTTCACACTGACTCTTGATTCTTGTTTCTAATGTGTAACGCTTAAAAACTTAATTTTTTAGTAAACCTTTTAAAAAACGACACGACACATGTTTTGTGGAGATGGCTCCGAGTCCTCCCGAGTCCTCCCGAGTCCTCCCGAGTCCAGACTCCCGAGTCCTCCCGAGTCCTCCCGAGTCCTCCCGAGTCCTCCCGAGTCCTCCCGAGTCCTCCCGAGTCCTCCCGAGTCCTCCCGAGTCCTCCGAGTCCTCCCGAGTCCTCCCGAGTCCTCCCGAGTCCTCCCGAGTCCAGACTCTCGAGTCCTCCCGAGTCCTCCCGAGTCCTCCCGAGTCCTCCCGAGTCCTCCCGAGTCCTCCCGAGTCCTCCCGAGTCCTCCCGAGTCCTCCCGAGTCCTCCCGAGTCCTCCCGAGTCCTCCCGAGTCCTCCCGAGTCCTCCCGAGTCCTCCCGAGTCCTCCCGAGTCCTCCCGAGTCCAGACTCCCGAGTCCTCCCGAGTCCTCCCGAGTCCTCCCGAGTCCTCCCGAGTCCTCCCGAGTCCTCCCGAGTCCTCCCGAGTCCTCCCGAGTCCTCCCGAGTCCTCCCGAGTCCTCCCGAGTCCTCCCGAGTCCTCCCGAGTCCTCCCGAGTCCTCCCGAGTCCTCCCGAGTCCTCCCGAGTCCTCCCGAGTCCATGGGAGCAGTCAAATTGACTCCTGGGAGGTCCTGGTGGGGAGGGCGCTGTAGTGACCTGTGTTTGTGTGTCGTCAGTGAGGGCTGCCGCAGGGAGAACACGCAGAAGAACGTGGGCAGCAGGAAGTACGCCTTCAACAGTCTGCAGCTCAGGGCCTTCCCCAAACACTACCGGCCCCCGACCGGGACCTACGGCAAAGTGGAGACCTGACCTCCTCTGGGACCTCCTCTGGGACCTCCTCTGGGACCTCCTCTGGGACCTCCTCTGGGACCATCAGGGGTTTTGTGGAGGCCGGTCCAAAGATTTCCACATAAATGAAC